GGCCACCATGGGCATTAGTGGAGAGAGAGAGAGGAGGGCAGGCAGGGCAGGCTGCCCCCCCTTGGAGTCGAAATAGGACAAGTGAAGGGGGCGGCGCCCCCCTTTCCTACTCTCTCTCCCTCTCCTTCCTTCCCCCTCTCTTCCTTGTGATGGAATCCTACTAGGACTAGTAGTACTAGTAGGACTCCCTCTCCTTGGGCGCGCCCCTAGGGGTCGGCCGGCCTCCCCCTTGCTCCTTTATATACGAGGGTAGGGGGCATGCTAGAACACATAAGTTTCTCTTAACCGTGTGCGGTGCCCCACTCCACAGTTACACACCTTGATCATACCATCGTAGTGCTTGCAAAGCCCTACGCCGGTAACATCATCATCACTGTCGCCATGCCATTGTGCTGACGGAACTCACCCTCGTCCTCAACTGGATCAATAGTACGAGGGACGTCATTGAGTTGAACGTGTGCTGAACGTGGAGGTGTCGCACGTTCGGTACTTGATCGGTTGGATCGCGAAGAAGTTCGACTACATCAACCGCGTTATTGAAACGCTTCCGCTTTCAGTCTATGAGGGTACGTGGACACACTCCCCCCTCTCGTTGATATGCATCACCTAGATAGATCTTGTGTGATCGTAGGATTTTTTTTAAAATTACCGCGTTCCCCAACAGTCAGCTTTTCGGAGCCCATAAGTTTGACACAATTTCATTTGTGAAGTTTGTGAAGCCTGGAGCTGGATGACTTCAGAACAGGCCCTATGTATAGTACATGCTCACATTTTTAGCTATAAATATGATAGTAACATTATGTATAAAAAGCTTGAAAATCTATTATTGTTTCTTCTCAATATTCTTGGAAGGTACTAAATTCCTTGGATGAACTAGGATTATTTAAGTAATGTTGTCAACATGGGGATAATTATTCTATAAGGGTTACAAATGAATAAAAGAACTCAAATAAATTCCGCTCACCACATCTGATTTTTTTGTTGCAGCCATATATGCTAACATAATATCACCGAATTACATATTTTAAATTTATGATGAACTATGAGTGTCAGGTAATCGAAGTTTAATCAACCACTATGATAAAAGATTATCACTAGCATGATAGATGGGTGCACGTGGAGCATGCCATCTCCTCTAGTGTTACTTATATTTTGACCACATGCCTTCACTTTTTATTTTATGCTTGTAGTTCTTTTGCATCACGACACCCTCTAGAATGTATCCCATGGATGATTAAAAGCCCTTGACTGATAATCATGTTTTTTTCTCTTACATCAGTAATGGTATTTTAAGTGGGAACAAATTAACAAGAAAACAATTTGGCCAAAGATGATTACTTGATTTTAAATATTTGTACAACTCAATACTTTAATGCTCAAGTGCAAATGATGATGAAAACACCCGAAAACTGAGAGAATTTGGTCCTACTAAGTAGAGAAACACAAAATGGGTATTTTTTGCGGCTAGAAACTTTTTATTTGTATCTGGCATAAAGTCCAAACATACACATTCGAAACGCCAATTTGAGTGACAATTAATGAAAAGGTATTTTTTTAAATAAATAGAAGATGAGTAGGCATTATGTGTATCTTTATATTACTGAAGACCATTGAAGTCCACAATTTTTTTCTATTGAGAATTTTGGATCTATATATGGGCCTAATTGGTTTGATGCCAATATTTGGCATTCCAACTTTTGATAAGTACAAGAAATTGGCTAGCAATTGGTTGGTTGCCAATTGATTCTTGTGAATCGATATTTTTTTTACCATTTATTGACAACATTTGGTTTTGTCAAATGTTGGCTTGTCAAATATTGGCAATGCCAAACTGGTATCAAACTAGTTAGCCTCTATGTCTATCACCAAACTCAATGAAAGTAGATAAACATAATTTTGGTGTTGTGAACGAGGACCACACGACAATGACCAAACTTGGGTTTCGTTTTCAATGCAAAGTATTGTAAAAACTAAAATGTCACAAAACTTTAGCATTTTAAGTAGTTGGCAATTGGCATTAGATGCCACCATCTTTAAACACTACAGTAACAATTTTAATGAAAACGCATGGCATTTGGAGATGGTGACGGTATTATTTTTCATAGTATTCATGTTCATTTTGCATGCTGATAGATAAAATACTTGTAGTAAGGACACTCATATCAAACAAGTTTGTAATAACTGGATCATTTTTGTACTTTAGCGGTTGTTTATCAGCTTACGTAGCAACTTTGATTCTCAGTGAGCTTACGTGAACCCACTCCAAAGCTACAAAAGTATAGACATGCGTACCTACTCACATGTCGACAAGGGCCACCGCCCCCTCCCCCACCCCACAACAAAGTTTGGACACAATTGTGAAGACTTTTTTAGGGATGATTAGATTAGAGAAATAAGAGTATTTTTTCCTTCTTAGAAATCCACATTTTGTGTTTTGCTCCCTCAACCAACCTTATCAAACACCAACACTTATTTACATGTTTGATGTTTCGAAAAAGGAAAGTAACCAACCTATGGATGGTGTTGATCATATCGTGTTAAAGTCTCGCAAACAGAAGTAAGAATGGATCCATGGAAAAAATTGCGTGACTTGTCGTGTAAAGAACAGACGGGCTATGGATTAATGAAAGGAGCAAGAAGTCATCGCCCTGGTGATCAAAGATTTAGAAGGAAAACTGATAAGGGTGCATGCTATCTAGTATCGAATCACTGCTTGTGCTCAGGCTATGGATGCATACGCCATCAGATATGGTCTCCTGCTTGCTCGAGATATGGGATACAGAAGGATATGCGTGGAAAGTGATGCTAAAAATATGGTCACAATTTTCAACTTCGAGGATTCAGAGTGGCCAACTACCATTTACCACGAAATCAAAGAGCCTATAGGAGGTTTTACTAGTTGTGTCTTATGTTTTGTGCGAAGGGAAGCTAATAAAGCGGCCCATCGATGCGCCAAACAAGCCATATAGGATTGGAGGGAATGTATATGGATAGATTATATTCCCACCTTTCTCACTGATTGTATTCAAACTCATTGTAACCCCTCCTTTTTGAGTAACTAGGTAATTGCCCGTGCGTTG